GAGTGTGGAGTTAGTTTTTTGACCAGCTTTCTTTTTCATTATGGTTTTTTTGTGCAACTGTGACCCTTTACCCATTGTATTTGGTCTGTTTCCTGGTAGAACAGAGGAAACAAAGTCTTGTTCATTATCGCTGCTACTATCACTACAAGTGTTAGAAGAACTAGATTCATATTGCTTTTCAAAATGATCAAGATTATCAATATCTGATGTTTTAATGGCTTTACTGCATAACTGTACTTCTTCTCCTGAATGGCCACTGCAAAACAAAAAATAAACACAGTAATTATAACAAGAAGGCAAAGTATTCCCAGGTTATTTATAATTTGTAACTTTTAAGGTAGAAATTTTATTCCCTAGGCATACTCTTATTCATAAGTGCATACATATGAATACATATTAAAAAGCTATATTTCTATATCTAATGTATATTTGATATACTTCATTCATCTTTCTTTTACCAATTTCCAATTATTAGGTTTTTTTGTATTAGTAGTTTTTTTTGTATTTTAGGACAGGGTCTACAGGGTCTTACTGCGTAGATTGGACTCACAGTGATCCTCCTGTTTACAGCCTCCCAAATGCTGGGATCACAGGCACATGCCACCACATGCCCAGGCTCAATCACCATCTCAGCATGCCCCGGGGGTGGGGCCAGCACAACAGGCCCAGGGATCGAACTTCTGGCCCCTGTGTCTGCCTAAGCAGGGGCTTTAATCTGTTGATCTATTTGGCTGGCCCAATTTCCAATTATTTTTAAATGGTTAAAGTAAAATAAGAACAACAAAACTCTAATAATTTTATTCTAGAGTTATTTTGGTTTTGGTCTACTATTTCTACGACTGCTCTCTATAAGCATTTTTTAAAGGTTATTTTTGAAAATTTCATTACTGGTTTCTCAAAAAACACATTATAGGAACTCTGTTAGTATGAAAGTTAAAGACAGATAGGCAAACATTTTCAAATTCAGGTTGAGCCTCATACAGAAAATTTCATACAATGAAAAACAAAGTCCTAACAGAAAATAAAATTGGTAAGCTAACATATTCCAATGAAAGATATTTAAGTTTGAAAAAGTTTTGAGAGTTCCAAAAGAATGATAACAATAAATGACAACAGTTGTCCCTCTGACTATGTGTTTAATTTAAGATTTGAACAAGATTAAGAATTACAAAATAGTGAAAGGAAAGAGCAGAGTCACTTTGGCATTTCAACCTGAGAGAAATTAAGGACAGGTAAGCAGTAGTCCTCATGCAAACACACATATCAGAACTTTAAAAAACAGAAGAGCCAGGAATATAGCTCAGCAGCATAAGCAGCTGCCTAGCAAGGGCAAAGTCCCAAGTTCAATTCCTGGTACCACAAAGCAATTAAAAAAAAAATGAGATGAGAAAGTTACTAGGCCAAGAAACATGCTATGGGGAAGTATATAATAAAGATGGGTTAGGGCAGTGAAAAGCAAGGTTGTGGATAGGAATGGAGAAAAGATGACATACTTCTTCAGTACTAGGTATCATTTTTTTTAAAGCTAGAATTTAAAAAAATAAGATATTACCAAATAAAAAAAGCGTAATTTTAAAAAAATCAGAACTCAACTTTCATATATTTCATACTTTCTCTTAGAATTTTAAGGCAATTTTATTTTTCCTATTTGATATTGAAACTATAAATAAAATGCATCAATAAATAAATGTCTTACTGTGGTACATATTATGTATCTAAGGTAGTGACTAATAATTAGGAACATTTATTCTAAGAGTTGAAGGAAGTATTTTGATAGCTAATGCTGGGCAAGGAATATTATGAAGAGAGTTTGAAAAAAAATCACAACCTGGGATTTACATTAATGCTTTAGATATTCTTTCAAATAATTAAATAACTGCTACAATAATGTCTCGAACTCTGATAAAATAAGACCATATAAACCTTTCAACAACTGTAATTGGTACAATCTAACTGACAAAGAAACACAGAATCTGAGATGGAGGCTTTGTTTGGGTCATATTTCAACAAGTTCAATTAGACTTCCACAGTAGGAACAGCTGTACGATAAATCATACAGATCAAACACATCATTATAACATCACAAAAGACAAAGCTGAACACATCAAATATTTCTTTCTCTGAGCTAGAACAGGGCGCTTATAATGTATCAGCACAGAAAGTCTAAGAGCTCATATCACCTAGGACACTCCTGATGTTTCTATTCACATGAATACTATATAGAAGGTAAGTGATACTGATTCAACCATACCTTTGTCCTTCCTTTAACAGCTGAAAATCAGGTTGTCTGTGAAAAAAATAGAGATATAGAAAATTGAAGGCAACTGATAGGTCAAAAGCTTTTAAATGTTTCTGATAATTGTATCAAAATATAATTAAAAGAGAACACTTCCCATAAGGATATTTTCCTTAAGAAAAAAATAGGGCCGGCAAATTGCTCAGCGGATTACAGCACTGATGCAGGGGCCAGAAGTTCGATCCCCAGGCCTGCCCCTGAGGCGCGTGAGAGGGTGATTGAGACTGGGCGTGGTGGCATGTGCCTGTAATCTCAGCACTTGGTAGGCTGTAAACAGGAGAATCACTATGAGTTTGATCTGCGCAGTGAGACCCTGTAGACCCTGTCCTAAAATACAAAAAGTAAAAATAAAAAAATAAAGGACAAAGTACTATGAAACTCAATATAGTTTATTATAATGTCTCATCTAAAATTTATTCCTAGGAGACCAGGCATGATGGCACACACCTGTAATCCCAGCAGTGGGGAGACTGAAAACAGGAGGATCACTATGAGTCTGAGCTGCACAGTGAGACCCTGTACCAAATATAGAAAAATAAATAAATACAAATAAAATGTATTCCTTTTCAGAACTCAGTGCCACACACCTAATAAAATTTTCCTTGACTAACCTGAGCAAAAGCAAGTCATCTTGTTTTCCACAAATTCCAGAATCATTGTTGCCTTTTAATTAATTAATCATATATTCTTTTATGCCCTACATTATCTAAATGTTTTACTTTTCTGTATGTTTAAGTCTGGTTTCTTACCTAGGCTTTAAGCTCATTGAAGCAGTGTATAGTATATTTATAATACTCTTATACTGTCAGTAAGTATTTTTATCTTAGTTTCTGCAAAAGTTAATATTGCACTCTAAGTGTGAATTATGAGGTATGATAAAAAAAAATCCATTAAGTAAAAGACGCATCACCATTAATTCTCCTGAAGATGCTCCCCCTTGCTTCAAACACACTTATTCCATTGTTCTTGCCATTTTCTGAAGCAGTTTTGGGAAGTCCTGCTTCTTGAGGCTCTTTAATCTCAGTGTCATGACTGCCTCAATGTCCCAAATCAATTCAAAGCATTTGCCTTTCACGGTCATTGTGTCTTTGGAGAACAGCCAGAAGTCACATATTACCAGAGTCAGTGAATAAGGTAGATGAGGACACATTACACTGTTTCTATATGCCTTCTTTTCTAAAGTGGATGGAACTAGGCAGCATCATTTTCTTTGTTTGGTTTTGGAGACTGGGTCTTGCTATCTAGTACAGGCTGGCTTTAAACTCACAATGTACCATAGGCTGGCCACCAACTTGCGGTGATCCTCCTGCCTCAGCTTTCCAAGTGTTCAGATTATAGGAGTGCACCACCATACCTGGGTCATTCATTATATTTTTATAATATCTTACAAAGGCACTTACCAAAGAGGACTTCCAGAACTGCTTCAGAAAGTGGCAAAGATGATGGGATAAGTATGCACACAGCAAGAAGGAGTATTTTGAGAGAGATTACTGGTAGTGTGTCTTACTGAAATAAATTTTTTTAAAACTTCAAACATTTAATACATATATTAAATAGTGTATACAGAGAGAGAGAGAGAGAGAGAGAGAGAGAGAGAGAGAGAGAGAGAGAGAGGTCACATCTCATATGTAGGTTGAGTGATTTAAGTTAACTCTAAGAACAATCTGGCCATTCAATATCAGAAATCTCATTTGACCATCATATTAAAAAGGGAAAAATATTCTTCCAAATGTAAAACACAGACAGACACACTCATGCTAGATATAAAAAGGAGCAAACATCAAATCCATGAGGACAGCAAAAATATTTCTGAAGTGACTTTGAAATGCTATCTATTTATCTTGCTAGGGATTGAAGTGAGGGCATCATGCATGTAAGGAAAATATTCTTCCACTGAGCTATACCCCCAAATCCCCAAAAGTATCTTCGAAAGACTGCAAAACAGAATAAACAAAGAGAAATTAAGAGTCAGGTATAGTGGTGCCATCCTGTAATCCCAGCTATTCAGGAGGCTGAGGCAGAAAGATCCAAAAATGCAAGGTTAGCTTGGATAACTTAGCAACACCCTATTTCAAATAAAAAATTTTAAAAAGAGCTGAGGATGCAGATTAGTGTTTCCTGAATTTAAACACCAGTACTTAAAAAATACATTGGCTGGACATGATGGCACAGTCCTGTGATGCTAGCAATTGGGAGGCTGAGGCAGGAGCACAGCATTGCAAGTTCAAGGTCAACCTGGGCTACAAAGTGAGTTTAAAGCCAACTGGAACTGCATAGCAAAACCTTGGCTCAAAAAGAGAAACAAGCAAAATAAACAAAAAACATACACCCATATTCCTACAAATACACTGATTTATATGAGCCTATGTGTAAACTGCAGAGAAGCCAAGGTACTGTGTGTATAAATCTCATTTAAGGTCCAAAATAGAGTCCATTGACCTTGTGATGTTGCAGACTTTCAATTAATGAGTCAGACAGATGAAAGCCAAACTTCTGAATTATGACATTTCAAGGCTACCAGTCAAAAAAGCCAGAGTCTCAAGTATTTGAGACTATATTGTTAAACATAATAGCATTAATAATGGAACTATTATCTAGCCAACATATTCACCTTTTGTTTGTTCAAACACAGGAGGGACTATGGGGAATGGGCGCTCATCAAGCTCCTTAGTTATGAAGGGCACCACTAATTAAGCCATTCTTCCTTATATAGATTCCTTCTTAGTACCACAAATCAGGAGGCATATACAATGAGGCCATCCTGCTCAAGAGATTCACATATAGCTCAAGAATCCCTAAGATTAGGGGCTGGAGAGATACCTCGGGGTCTAAGTGCCTGCCTGGCAAGCGCAAGGACCCTGGTTTGATCCCCAGTACTGGAACTGCACACCATGCTGGCCACTGAAACCAGGCGGTATGGCATATGCCTATCATCCCTGTACTGGGGAGGCTGAGACAGGAGGATCACTACGAGTCCAAGCTGCAAAGTGAGAGCCTATGCCAGATAAATAAATAGATAAATGAATTTAAAACATTAAAAAAGTAATCTCTAAGATTAAAATTAATTAAACCCAATGAGCAGTGTGAATTGCTTCAGAGTGATTTTTTTATTCTTCCTTTATCTCACCCAGGCATATCTTCTTCTGTACACTCCAATTATCCTATTTGCCCTATTGTTTTCTACTCACTAATTCTAGTCATAGCAGCTACCTATAACTAGTAGTGCTGCTAGACACAGGTGTGATGGAACCTGTGATGGTGCTACTAGCTAGGAAAGAGTATCATGTCAGAATCCTTGAAATAAGTACAAAAACCAGCTGTTCAGCAGAGATCCACATTCCCTGTCAAGAGGGCCTATTTTACTACAATTTAAAAATTAGGCCACGCATAATTTTATATTAAACATTTGTTAAATAAACATTTGTAACAGCAAAAAAAAATCACACTGCTATACAACAAATAATTCAAGAGAGTATCTGTTAAGTTCCATGAGAAGTGCTGCTACAGGAAATTAAAAATGAAAGAAAAACTTGTTGCTGAGGCAATCAAAAAGTTTCAGAGAATAATCATTTCAGCTGGGCTTATAAATACAGATCAGTTTGTAGAGGGGGATGTGTAAGGATTCTCTCTACCTTCTGTTCATTTTTACAGTGAACCTAAAGCTGTTCCAGAAAATAAGTCTACCTCAAAAGAAAGGGGAGAAAAAGGTATCAGTTTGTATATAAAGGCAGCTGAAGTTGAACCTATGTATCTTGCTTTGTGGTTTTATACACATATTGTCACACACCTCCTTTTCGAGAAAAAAAAAAAAAGCTGTCATGCTTAAATCTACCCTACTTCTCTACAAACAAAAACTCAGCCCTGTCCTTCAGTCATATGGATTGCCAGACCTTTTCTTTATAAGTTTTAAGTAAAGAAGTCCGCACTGATCACCCTCAATTCCATTATCTTTTACTCAGCCATAACTCTCTGCCTTCTGGACTCTACACTCATCACTCCACTGAAATGGCTCTTACTAAGATCACCAATTACCACAGGATTGGTAAATCTAATGAATAGTTTTTTCAGTTTTTGTTTTTTAAGGAAGAGAATCAGTATGAAAGGAAACCTCAACAGAGGAAGACTAAGTCATAAGGCAAAGTCTTAGAGAACAGAATCACTAACGAAGAGGAGTGTGATGTATATTAGCAAAGAGGAGACAAGTGAGAGTACATAAACAACTAAGTTGAAAGAGATGCTGCTGATGCTCTCAATTATTTCATTAAATTAGTAGTTTAAGTTATTTACAATAGCTTAAGTTCAAGGTTTAAGGAGAGCAGAAAAGACTGAATGTGTCATATAGCCAGTAAGAAACAAAGGAGAGAAAATGAGAACAAACAACTGTGAATAAGGCCAAAAGAATGCAGAGTGCCAGACAAACCTACTGGATTTAAACTCCAAATCTCTCTATATCAACTAACTGTCCTTTTCTGTATCTCCAAGTGTCATTTCCACCATCTATAAAATAGGTAACATAATATCTCCTTAAGGATGCTGTGAGAACTTCATTAAATGAGACAGCTTACTCAAAGGACTAATGGTCTTATTTGAGCACTTCCCTCAGTAATGTTTAGGAATCAAAACGGAGAAAAATAAAAGATGACTGGAACTTGGAAAGGTAGACAGGACAAATGGCTGAAGGAGAAACCACCACCTAGAACAGCCTTGAGAGGACAATGCTGCAACAGCTGACCGAACCCAATAAAATAAATACAAGGGTCTGCCAACCCAGGAGAACAAAGCTAGGGGACTCAAAAGGTCAAAATGAGGTTAAAAACAGACTAATAGTTGCAGATGAGATGAAGGTTGTGGTCACAAACGGGAAGTTCTTATTTCAAGATCTTGAAAGCAGAATACCAAATAAGAATGAGATCTGAGTGTGGCTAATCAAAATGTAAACTCTTTCTTTCTTTTGAGACAGGGTTTGGCTCTGCAGTTCAGGCTGGTCTTCA